GTGCACTCAGTTGACCTCTCCGGCTAGGCGCCTAATACTACTCATACTCCACCAATTAAGTTCTTTCAAATGACACCAAGGTCAATGACCTTGTGACCTTGACTGTGGCCTATATGCTAAAAATAGCTTTTTCATACCTTTATGAGAAACATGTACAGACTACATATTTGTTATGCATACTCTACTTATCAAGTTCTTTCAAACGACACGAAGGTCAATGACCTTGTGACCTTGACTGTGACCCTCTGGCTAAAAAAAGCTTTTTGTCTGCAAACTTTAGCCTTCGTTATAACTTTTGAACCATGAAAGATAGTGACCTTATATTTAATATGCACACTCCACTAATTAAACTCTTTCAAATGTCACCTAGGTCAATGGCCTTGTGACCTTGACTGTGACAAATATGCTTATTAAAAAAATCTTCTTTTTTTTTTATTTTGTTGCCGCTGGGCGCATATTGTATCAGAAACATATCTTGTTTCACTCAGCAACTACCACAAAAGAAATCAAATATGCATATATATAAGCAGCCACGTCTTCCCTAATTCGCTTTCTCATTTCACCTCACGCATGTATTAGAGGCTTTCATCCTAAAAATTCTAAAAAAAAAAAAAAAAATGTGTCGGCTTTTAATATCAATCTTGTAGGACACAAAACCTGTCTTCCCGTTGATGTTTTCTCTAGATTTGGGCCTTTTTATGCGCCCGGATTGATAAATCCGGGGCGTATATTGTTTTGTCCTGTCTGTCTGTCTGTCTGTTTGTTTGTCTGTTTGTCTGCAATCTTTAACCTTCGACATAACTTTTGAACCATTAAAGATAGAGACTTAATATTTGGTATGAATACTCCACTAATTAAGCTCTTTCAAATGACACCAAGGTCAATGGCCTTGTGACCTTGACTGTGACCTATATGCTAAAAATAGCTTTTCATCTGCAAACTTTATCCTTCGCCATAACTTTTGAACCATGAAAGATAGAGACTTCATATTTGGTATGCATACTCCACTAATTAAGTTCTTTCAACTGACACGAAGGACAATGACCTTGTGACCCTGATTGTGACCTATTTGCTTAAAATAGCTTCTTCGTACTTTTGCCATAACTTTCGAACCATACAAGATAGAGACTGCAAATCTAGAATGCATACTCCACTAATTAATCTTTTTCAAATGACACCAAGGTCGGTCAATGACCTTGTGACCTTGACTGTGATCTTTTGCTAAAAATAGTCTTTCGTACTTCTGCCATAACTTTTGAACCACAAGAGATAGAGACTTCATATTTGGTATCCATACTTTACTAATCAAGTTCATTAAAATGACACCAAGGTCAATGGCCTTGTGACCTTGACTGTGACATATATGCTAAAAATAGCTTTATTAAAATTTTGTTGCCGCCGGGCGCATAGTGTTACACAAACACATCTTGTTTTTAATGTATTAAAAATCATCTCCCTTCTTTGGGACTCTTTAATCAACTTTGTTATTCTTTGCAATATTTCTTATATAACCTTTATGGATAATCTTCTGAATGGCTTATATCACCATTTTTGGTGTACTTATATTTAAAAACATTTTGAAAACAATGTAGAAATCAAAAGAGAATGACAAATAGATATAATTTTTTTTATATAATACAAAGAGATACAAAACATATTTGAGGAACGTGTCGTCTGACTTTAACCTCAAACATGAGAAGTTAATTTAAGTTTGAGTTTTCCTCGTCTTTAATCGTCACCCCGAAGAGCAATTCCTTGTCGAGAAAGAAACCTCAAAATGTTTGTGATTTTTAGCAAATTCTCTCAAGACTTCTCGACTTAATTCGTGCGTCTTTGAAAGAGACTCCCCAACATCTTGAACTTTCTCCTTTATCGTAAACTCTCTTTCTATTGCCTCTTTATGGCATTGACTTTTCTCATGCGCAGCGAATTTTGTGGTTCCTTTTTTCCAGTTTTTGAAAAAACTAGATATAAAAGTTTTTATGCCCCCGTAAACGAAGTTTTGGGGGTATATAGTTCTTGTCTGTCTCTCTGTCTGTCTGTTTGTCTGCAAAAACTTTCACCTTGCCCATAAGTTTTGATTTAGTGGAGCTATGACTTTTATATTATACATGTGTATTCCTTGTGACATGACCTTTCTATGGGTATCCCCAAATTTGACCTTTTAATCTTGACCTTGGAGTTTGACCCACTTTTTCACAAATATTCCAAACTTTTATTTCGGCCATGTCTTTTGAACAGTAAACACTTCACATAGGTAATTCTTGTGAAAAGACGCTTCGTTGGATACCAAGAACTTTGACCCTTTGACCTTGACCTTGGAGTTTGACCTACTTATAAAATACAACCTTGATCATAATTTATGGACGGTAAGAACTAGGGCTTTTATATTTCACATATTTATCCTTCTGACAAAATCTTCCATATGATATCAAGAACTTTTACTTTGAACTTGGTGGTTAACCCATTTTTACACAAAAATCCAAACTTTTAATTTGGTCCTAATTTTAAATGGTAGATACTAAGAATTTCAAACCAGTATTTCAAATATCAATTATTTGAAGCAAGACCTTTCATTTGAAACCAAGAATTTTGACCTTTTCACCTTGATCTTGGAGATTTCCATACATACGAAAAAAATTTAACCTTTGCCATGTCTTTTGAATTGTAAAGACTAGAGCTTTCTATCTTCACATATGTAATTCTTGTGAGAAGACCTTTAATTGGATATCAACAACTTTGACCCTTTGACCTTGGAGTAAGACCTACATTTTACAAACTTTAACCTTGGCCATAACTTTTGAACGGTAAGGGCCAGCGCTTTCATACTTCCAATATGTAATTCTTAAGACAAAGCCTTTCTCTAGAAACCAACAACCTTAACCCTTTGACCTTGATCCCGGAGTTTGTCCTACCTTTAAAAACATTAACATTGGTCATAACCTTTGAATAGGTGGTCCTAGGGTTTTATATTTCACATTGGTATTTCTTGTGAAAAGGTCTTACTTTAGGTACCGACATACTGTAGTATTTGATCTGCATTTGAGAAAGCTTAACCTTCGCTATCTTTCCATACGGTGGCATCAGTGTTTCACAAACACATCTTGTTTTTCTTTTGAAATATCATGCAAGGAATACATAGTACAACATCTTTGATTTCTACAATAATGTAGCCCTCTCCTTTTCTTCTCTCCAGAAAATATCAGATAAAAACAAGATGTGGCAATTAATTCGCTTGAAATGAATTTTCAGCAATCTAACAAATAATTTTAATCAAGCGAGTTAATTGCCTGTAGAGACAACTGTAAATGGTTGGGAGGTAGCTGCAGAACTGTAGCTGTCCGAAAAATATTATATTTTTCGGACAGCTACAGTTCTGCAGCTACCTCCCAACCATTTACAGTGTCTCTACAGGCAATTAACTCGCTTGATTAAAATTATTTGTTATATATTGATAGACTCTCCGGTCTATCAATATATATTTTTCGGAGAGCTACAGTTCTGCAGCTAATGTTCATGTGGCACGGTTTCTATTTTACTTAGGTACATTATCTTGAAAACAGAAGGTACTTATCCTCATAAAGAATGTATGTTTAAGGATAAATAACACAAACTTTTTTCAGAAATCAGCATTATTTTTCTTAGATTTACATTTAAATTGACAACCTGAATAATACTTACCAAGTAGAGTGGGAGAATTATATAAGATTTTGTCATAAGGTTAAAAAATTGTGCAAAATTTTGTATGGAATTATATAGAAGGCAAAACAAAATCTCATATATAAGCACCAAGGAAAACCTACGATTTCTTTATATTTCAGGGATTTATTATTTATGTCATTTCAAATCAAAATCAGTCAAAAAAAATATATCAACCCGCGCATCATTTTTTTGTTTGTGGTAAGTACCCTTAATTCATTTCTAGTTTTTTGGTAAAGAATTTGACACTCGTAACAAGAGATCCATGGACCACAATGCTCACCTGAGTAGCTTTGACCATGCTGTTCTTCAACAGAATTTCCCCTTGTAATACCTAATATTTACATTTCCAATGTCTTTGTCCAACATAAAATTACAAAGAGTAAATGTACTTTATTTCTTCATGAATGCACTGGTTCATCGATAGGCGCGGTTAAGAAAAATCACGTGCTGGGCGGGACAAATGTAGAGACAGACGCGGGGCTTAGAGCACGTGGATTGGCGGAATCAAAAGCATGTAAATATGAGGAATAACTCAGATTTTTCAATTTCATGAAGATGATCAATCGATTGGCTTGCGTGATAATTTTATGCATAAACGCCTTCACTTCATGAAATCGAAAAATAAGACAGTTATTCCTTTATTATGATCCCACCCTACTCCAGCATTATTTTAACAATTTAAAATCTACACTACCCCAGAATGTTTTCACGCAAGTCTAGGCTTTCCTGGCCCAGTGATTCTCGAGAAGATTTTTAAAAAATTCCTAGATATTTCAATGTAAAACTTGGATTCCTTATTATGGCCCTGCCTCACCTTGGGGGTCATGATTGAGCAATTTAGAATCTACACTACCCCAGGATGCTTCAACGTAGCATTCTGTAGAATTCTAACGGGCTTCAAACTGTCTGATATGATAGTATTTTATCATACAGAACTGTATTCGGCACATATTTATTACAGAGGAAGCTTAACATGACAGAAAAATGTTCAAATGGATATACCGGTAAAACGGATTCCACATACTGTCAAATCACATATTTTCGAGGGGTCACCTTTTCTTGGTTTAGGATTTCGTGGGGATTTAATTTCTTGGATGAAGAAGTGTTTAGAAGTAATATTTGAGAAAAATTTCACTGGTGGACATAAATTCGTTTAAATTGTATCTTCATACCTCGAAAATTAAACCCCCATGAAAATTAGTGATTTCACAGTAACTGTTTCGCATTCAACACTTAAAACTCTATAAAGATCTCTCCTTCAATTTGAATTAGCTTGGATGAATAAAAACAAACATTGGTTTAATGCAATTGATTTATTCAATAGCATATACATATGGTAAAACATCTTGACATAATGCAAATTTGTAGTCAGCCACCCTGTGGTGTCAGTAATATCATAAACTGTCCATCACAATGGCAATGACTTTCTATACAGTATGAGAAAACGTTTTGATTTTCCAAGTTATATCCATCAAATGTCTATTGTTTAAAGCTGTAGACATTGTATTTTTGCATTGCTTCTAAGTTGTGAGGTGTCTAACATCTCTGTCTGTGATGTAAATACATCTAGATTCTCCCTCATTGCAGTAGATCTGACTGGTTTAGCCAGGCCTCTAGATTCTCGATCTGAGCTGTAACACTTGTTTTCCCTGTTCCTCCATATACACTGTACTGATCTACGGACTTCTCATAATCCCAGATAGACAAAATATCCTCAGTACACTGCTCACTGGAAAAACCATCAACATGTAAATGCAAGTTAAGGACAGATGATACAAACTTTTTTCAATTAAAATTATAACATCCTTAGTCAAGTTTCAATGAGTAAAATGAATGTTTAAGTGCATAGTTTTTTATTTTTTCATTCAAATTTACACAAAAATGGAATTTGAAGTGAAAAATATTTGTATAGATTAATAAAGATGGCTCCAAAAAAGTAGAGTTTAATTTGAACATCATAGAAGGTTTACAATTTCTTAATATTTTGGAAATTTATTTAATAGCTATATCATTTGCAACAAAAGTAGGACCAGAACTATATACCAATCAAGGCATCCATTTTTTTGAATTTATATCATTTGTCCCTGAACAACCATTTTGTCCATGTTTGAGTTAGTATGATTTATATGAATAGTTGTACCTGACAGATCTGAAATCTTGTAGTGTTAGTTCTGATAAAGAACACTTCTTCTTTTCAGCCAGTGCCACACACATTCCTGATAAACCATGAGCCTCCCGAAATGGGATCTACATGAATAAACAAAAAGATTTTCAAGAGCATTCAAACTCAAAGGTCACAAATGTGGAAAGGGAATGTTTGGCACAATAAATACAAATTTAAATATGGAAGCCCTTGCAACAACAATTCAAAAGTTATGGCAAAAATTATGTTACACTTTTTCAAAAGTAGGTCAATCTTCAAGGCTAAGGTAAAAAATGTTTTTGCCCAAGGAAAAGGTCTTGTTCCCAGAAATACCTTGTATACTTGTGAAATATGAAGGCTTTAGCACTAACCATTCAATGCTCAAGGTAATTTTTTTTCAAGTAGCTCAAACTCATAGGTCAAAGATAAATGGTCACAAATGTTGGTACAATGTACTCAGGGGAAGATCTCATCTTGTTCAATTCAATTAAAGAAATAGTGTACTTTACCCCTTTTCTGACTAAATAATAAGCTATATCTGTTGCCAGCATTTCTGGGCTCAAAGCTTGTCTCATTTTGTCTGCATCTATCTAAAATAAACAGAAATCATATTCAAATTGCCACCGGTAAAATAAAGCAGTGGACATATATGTAATATTAACTGTAAATATACACAAGTTTATATAATTGTGTATATATATTTTAGAGTTAAGAAAACTTACCTGTAAAGTAGAGAGGACACCTATTGCTACTTTAACCACACCTAGTAGAGTGTCATACACATCGAACATGGCTTCCTTATCTTCCTGTCATTATAAAGAACAAGGTGATGATATGTACAAGCAGGTTCTAAATCTTTTAAGATATAAATTTATTAAAACTATATAGGTTCAATTCAGTAATATATGAGCTATCTTCATATTTTCAGCAATCTCCATTTCATTTATGGGAAAGTCAGACAAAATTCTATACCGACCTGCAAGTCCTTGTTGTATGTACTAGGTATTCCCTTCAATGTCATGAGGAATCCAGAACACTGTGAATAGGAGTAAAATATCGATCAAACAGACACATGTTCAAGTCAAACAAGGTTCAAATTATAGGAATATGCTCATAATTTATCTTCTAAGACAATCCTATTATTACCGTGGTTTCGTCAATATTTGTTGAGCACCCATTTTCAAGGATTTTGTCGTTGAGCAGATCCACAAATTCCAATGTTCATTGAATTAAGAAATATAATATTCATTTGCATAGGCAATCCTTTTGTCCACGAAATTACATATCCTCAAAAACATCACTTTTACAAAATTCACAAAAATTGATGCCAACGAAAATTGATGAAATCACAGTATTTGGTAAGAGAAGACTATATATATGAATCAGAAATATTTTAATGTGATACTTTTCAAGATTAACCCATATTGTCAGAGTCAATCTATAGACAGATATTTCACATCAACCTCTCCTTGGTCTATATGATTGTAAGATGTACTAACATGACCAAACATCCTGCCAGCTTTGCCTCTGATCAGTTCCAGGCTGTCTGCATTCTTCTTCTGAGGCATCAAGCTGCTGCCAGTGCTAAAACAAAGCAGAGTGGGTCAGCAAGGCAAACCACTGCCTGTACAAAATCAAAGCATATCAGGGAAATAAACTACTGCTGAACTAAAACAGAGCAAACCAGAGATACATTAACAAGCAACTGCTTAACTAAAACAAGAGGCCCACGGGCCTTATAAGTCACCTGAGTATCGTGTAACAACTTTCAAACAAATAACTTTGGTTTGTGTTTTAAACAAGAGGCCATGAAATTTACAATTCATAATTTTGAAAGAGGCACCATTGCTTATCATAATTATAAACTTAGCATGCTTACTCTATTATTTAATACCCAGAGGTTGATCAGAGTAACAAAGAGAAAATGCACATCCACTTTATAACCAGTTTTGCACCTCACCCCAAAGGAACCACGGACCTTGGGGCCATATATTTCAAAATTTGCAAATTTTATCATAAAATGGTTGATTAATACCAAAGAGCAAATTTCAAAGCATTAATTTTTTTTCAGACTATGCCCCCCCATCCCACCACAAGCCAGGGATGGGGGGGGATAAAAAAATAACTATTTTGCTAGATGCACCTTTCTTCATCATAAATATATATACTTGGATCATTGGCATAACACCCAGGAGCAAAGGAAAAGATTTTCAAAGAATTAATGTATTTTCACTATATAATCTATATAGCCTCTCCCTAGCACTAGAGCCCCTGATCCTGGGGCCATAAAATTCACAATTTTGGAAGAGACACTCTTGCTCATCATAACTTTGTGCTTAATTAATTAATTTCATACCCAAAAGCGGAGAAGAAGATTTTCAAAGAATAAATGCATTTTCACCATATAATCAATAGAGTCCCACCATAACACCAGAACCCCTGACCCTGGGGTCATGAAATTACAATACTGGAAGAGGCACTCTTGCTCATCATAACTATGTACTTAGTTCATTTAATACCCAGAAGCAGAGAAGAAGATTTTCAAAGAATAAATACATTTTCACTATATAATCAATAGAGCCCCGCCCTGACACCAGAACCCCTGACCCTGGGGTCATAAAATTCACAGTTTTGGAAGAGGCACTCTTGCTCATCATAAATATGTACTAAGTTAGTTTACTTAATACCCAGGAGCAGAGAAGAAGATTTTCAAAGAATAAATGCATTTTCACTATATAATCCATATAGCCCCGTCCTAGCACTAGAATCCCTGACCCTGGGACCATAAAATTCACAATTTTGAAGAGGCACTCTTGCTCATCATAACTATGTGCTTAGTTAATTAATTTAATACCCAGAAGCGGAGAAGAAGATTTTCAAAGAATAAATGCATTTTCACTATATAATCAATAGAGCCCCGCCCAAACACCAGAACCCCTAACCCTGGGGCCATAAAATTCACAGTTTTGGAAGAGGCACTCTTGTTCATCATTAACTATGTACTAAGTTAGTTTATTTAATACCCAGGACCAGAGAAGAAGATTTTTAAAGAAATAATGCATTTTCACTATATAATCTATATAGCCCCGCCCTAGCACTAGAACCCCTGACCCTGGGGCCATAAAATTCACAATTTTGGTAGAGGACTCAATGCTCAATACATTCATGCCAACAGTTTGCCTGCTTGATATCCAGGAGTAAAGGAGACTTTTAAAGATTGCAATAATTTTAGTGGTTTTGGCCCCACCCCCCAGGCCCCAGGGGGGCAGGGACCATGAAATTCACAATTTACGTTCCCCTTCACCCATAGATGCTGTATACCAAATTTGGTTGAAATTGGTTCAGTGGTTTCAGAGAAGAAGCTGAAAATGTTCAAATGTTAACACACGACGGACGACAAAAGACGGAAGAAAACAGATAGCAATAGGTCACCTGAGTTACTCAGGTGACCTAACAAAGCAAATCAGAGAAACAAACAACTGCTGTGCTAAAACAAAGCAGCAAAGGTCAACAAGGCAAACTACTGCTATTCTACAACAAAGATAAACAAACTATAACATGTATCAAAACAAAGCAGAACAGGTCAGCAATACAAACCACTGTCTGAACTACAACAAAGCAGAATGGAAACATGGCAAATGAAAAACAAAGCAGAACAAAGTATATAGAACAAAGTATACTGTATAAAAATTAAGCAGAACAGGTTAACAAAACAAACCCACTGTCTGATCTACAACAAAGCAGAACAGAAACATGGCAAATGAAAAACAAACAGAACAAAGTATAGTCTGTACAGAAACAAAGCAGAACAAACTATAGTCTGTACTAAAATAAAGAAGAACAAACCACTGCCAGTAGTAAGATAAATCAGAACAGGTCAACAAGGCAAACCACTGTCTGTATTAAAACAAGCAAATCAGGAAAACAAACTTCTACTTACTAAATCAAAGCAAATATGGAAGAAAACATACAACCGTTGTACTAATCAAAGCCAATGAAGGAAACAAACTACTGCTGTTCTAAAACAAAGGTAAACAAGGTACAAAAACAAGGAGAAGCAGGTGAACAAGGCAACACCAGTACGAAAACAAAGAGAAGCAGGTCAACAAGGCAATGCCTGTACTAAAATAAAGCAGAACATGCTAAAATGTTTTATGTACCGAAGGTACATGTACTAAGAAACATAGGTAATCAGAGATTACAGAGCTCACCTCAACGAATGTTGTCTTTAAATAAGGCAAAGTCACACAATTAACCAACAAAAAGTGTATATTCCAAAAATGAAAATATCTAAGCAATTTTGATCTGATACTTTGAAGTAGACCAACATAAAAAATTTAAAGTAGTTCTTCTTCATGAAAATGTAATTCAGCATCTAAAGCAAATTTGAGTTTTCATCTCTTGATGCAACATTTGTGCAAGTTTGGTTTATACAATGTTATAAAAGCCTTAAAGTTTTTTGGTAATAGACCAGCACCCACAACTTTTACCTTGTCTATTATCTGAAAAATGTATGTCGAATTCAGCATCCGAAGCAAGTCCATTAGTGTGCATCCTAAGATGTATCGTCCATGCAAGTTTGCACATTATAAGGCTCATAGTTAATTGGAAATGAAACATACATCAAAAACTAACATTTTCACTCATCCACAAAATGTAGGTCAGATTCAGCATCCGAAGCAAGCCTGGTAGTATGCATCCTAAGATGTATCATCCATGCAAGATTGGTCATTAAAGAACTCATAGTTACTTGGAAATGAAACCTGCACCAAAAACTTTTACTTGTTCACTCAACCGGAAAATGTAGGTCAGATTCAGCATCCGAAGCAAGCCCTGTAGTGTGCATCCTTAGATATATCATCCATGCAAGTTTAGTCAACATAGGGCTTAAAGTTACTTGCAAATGAAACCTGCTCCAAACACTTTAACCTGTTCACTCAACTGGAAAATGTAGGTCAGATTCAGCATCCGAAGCAAGCCCGGTAGTATTCATCCTTAGATGTATCATACATGCAAGTTTGGTCAACATAGGGCTCATAGTTACTTGGAAATGAAACCTGCACCAAAAACTTTAACCTGTTCACTCATCCAGAAAATGTAGGTCAGATTCAGCATCTGAAGCAAGCCCGGTAGTATCCATCCTTAGATGTATCATCCATGCAAGTTTGGTCAACATAGGACTTACAGATACTTGGAAATGAAACCTGCACCAAAAACTTTAACCTGTTCACTCATCCAGAAAATGTAGGTCAGATTCAGCATCTGAAGCAAGCCCAGTAGTATCCATCCTTAGATGTATCATCCATGCAAGTTTGGTCAGCATAGGACTTACAGATACTTGGAAATGAAACCTGCACCAAAAACTTTAACCTGTTCACTCAACCGGAAAATGTAGGTCAGATTCAGCATCCGAAGCAAGCCTGGTTGTATCCATCCTTAGATGTATCATCCATGCAAGTTTGGTCAACATAGGACTTACAGATACTTGGAAATGAAACCTGCACCAAAAAACTTTAACCTGTTCACTCAACCAGAAAAAGTAGGTCAGATTCAGCATCCGAAGCAAGCTCGGTAGTATGCATCCTTAGATGTATCATCCATGCAAGTTTGGTTAACATAGGGCTTATAGATACTTGGAAATGAAACCTACACCAAAAACTGCACCAAAAATGTTAACCTGCTCCAAAAACATTAACCTGGTCATTCCTTTGCTAAAATTGCAGCATCTGAAACTTTGACTGGTACAATGACACACACTAGAACCATCTTCCATGCATGTCTAATCAATATAGGACATAGAAGTACTTAAAAAGAAAACTGCTCCAAAAAACTTAACCTTAACCCGGGACGCCGACGCCGACACCGACGCCGAGGGTATTGCATAAGCTCCCCCAACTTCGTTGAGGTGAGCTAAAAAATGTCTCTTTCATAGAAAACCTGTGATATATTATCAGTACCTATAAGCATCAGCCAGAGTAACAAAGCCAAACTCCTTAGAGCTGTATAGAATAAGGTCCTCAGCCCAGCGACTCAGATGTGTCCCCACCATAGAGGCCCAGAACAGAAACTCCGCTAAACAACAGATAAAACAGTTCTAGCTTATACAAGTGTCATTTCTCTGCTCATTCTGTACAGATTTGGTAATTCTACTAAAAATGTAGAAAGTGTTTCAGAATCACAAATACAAGTACTTCAACATGAACAACATAATTACAAGAGACAAATAATGTAAATCAGAAGCTTAAAAGATTGTTTGTTTCTTATACAATGAATAAGCGTCAATAATTATATATTAGTATAATGGTGTTAAATGTATACTTTGTTATCATATATAAAAATGGTGCTAATTTAATTTGAGATATTTATGTATATGTATGAAAATGAAGCGTCAATAATTATATACTGTGGAATCATTTTTATTCGAGGGGGTCAATGTTCGTTGGTAGCCAAAAATTTCCTGGTCCGTGGGGACGTAATTTCGTTGGTAAGAATTTTTCTCCAGTTAAAACAAGAGGCCCACGGGCCTTATAGGTCACCTGAGTATCATGTAACAACTTTCAAGCGATTGTATTTGGTTCTTGTTTTAATCCAAAAGCCATGAACTTCACAAATTTTGAAGGAGGCAACATTGCTTATCAAAGGGCAGATTTCAAAGCATTAATTTATTTTTAGTCAAAGTACCCCCCTGGTATCGCTGACCCAGCGGCCCTGAAATTATCTATTTTGAAAGAGGCCCCTTTCTTCATTATAAGGCCAGCATTTTTTTTTTGTTTAGGTTTAGTTATGAACATGAGAATAAAAAAAAAGTCCCGAAGGAGAAGGAAATAAAAAAAAATTTTTGATAAATCGATTATTAACATTTGTACATTCTTTTTCTTATGCTATTCTAATAAGCTCCTTACCACTGGACACAAAATGCTTACAAATAGGAAAGTAGAACATTTAATTGCTTATTTCATAATCTGCCAGTTTGGACCAGTTGTATAAATTTTGTGATGTTGGTCAAAATATATTTTAAATAAAGTGCCGCGCCACAGCATTATACGCCCGTCAAAAAATTACAATTTTCTTGAACAGTATAGGTGCAAGAAAATCACATCAACCTTGATTCCAAGATTTCGATGATTTTTCCATTCCTTAAAATATTTATCCATCCCCTGTGATGTAGGCATCAATTATAATATAAATATTACATCACCGATAGATTTCTGTGCTGGCTGTGTTAGACCTTGTCAAATGCCCATCATCAAATTAGTCTTAACAACTTAATCTATACCAAATTAATTTTAAAAAGAAAAGGCTTGCCATCAAATGACATATGTTATAAACTGACCAGCAGTTCTTCTGTCTAATCCCCAAAGGGTACAGATAAGGTCACTGCTTAATCAGAGCGACTGAGACAGCTAGCCTTCCTACATTGAACTCATTAATTAATCTTTAACTGGTTGCTTGTCTACTCATTACTACCAAGAGATGAATGGGTCTGCACTATCTACTATAAATTTAATAAAATACTCAAAGATTTTTTTTTTTGGTTGAGATTTAATGTCCGACAGGTTTTAATATGTAATTCATATGGACATGCTGATTCCACCTCACCCCAAAAAATTAGTTTTTAAATTAATAATTACATAATATCAGATTAGTCTATTATGCAATATCAAATTAGTTTTAATTACTTTTCATCAAATTCATTTTAAAACTTAAGCTAGTCAACAAGAGCTATTTTAAATCACACAGGCTTACCCATTTGCCCAATACTCAAGGGATATAGATAACACCAATGCTAGCTCCTCGCACTCAAAACCCATTAATTTCTCCCTAATTTGACATGCAATTTTCTGTTATAAAAATTCTTCTTGACCAGTGCTTGATAATTACACTCATGGGAGAGGCAGGATTTCTCTGACATACATTATATTTGTTATAGATTGCTGTCAAGTATATGCTTAAAAAAAATAAGTATTTTCTTGATTTAACACTTTTTTAATAAGAACAGTGCAATACTCTTACATTATTTGGGATGTGTAAATGAATAGTAAAAAGACACACTTTTTTTTAAAAATTCACTTAAATTAAAGGTCACAGTGACCTTGAAATAGGTCGCGACACACCTTCTACCTAAGATGCATAAACTGGCCAAGTTTGATGATTGTAGGTCTTATGGTTTTCTAGTTATGGGCCGGAAAGGATTTTTCCATATTTGGCTATAACTTCTTAAATAAAGGTCAAAGCGACCTACTTTTTGTGCGCGACACACCTTCTAACCAAGATGCATCAGATGACAAAGTTTGATAATCCTAGGCCTAGTAGTATTAAAGTTATGAGCCGGAAACGAAAAAGCTAACAGACAGACGGACAGACAGACAGCTAGACAGACGGACGGACACGAAGCCTATAACATAATACGTCCCGTCTTAAGACGGGCGTATAAAAACAATTCTTTAAAAGTCTTTCAATATATCTTTATTTTTTTAATATGTGTTAGGTGAATGTGTAGACATTGTTCTAAAATTTACTTGATGCCTAAAAACATAGGTAATCAGAGATTACAGAGCTCACCTCAACGAATGTTGTCTTTAAGTAAGGCAAAGTCACACAATTAACCAACAAAAAGTATACATTCCAAAAATGAAAATATTTTTAAAAGCAATTTTGATCTGATACTTTGAAATAGACCTACATAAAAAATTTAAACTACTTCTTCTTCATGAAAATGTAATGAAAATCCAGCATCTGAAGCAAATTTGAGAGTTTTCATCTCTTGATGCAGCATTTGTGCAAGTTTGGTTTATACAATGTTATATAAGCCTTATAGTTTTTGGTAATAGACCTGCAACCATAACTTTTACCTTGTCTATTATCTGAAAAATGTATGTCCAATTCAGCATCCAAAGCAAGTCCATTAGTGTGCATCCTTAGATGTATCATCCATGCAAGTTTGCTCATTATAGGGCTCATAGTTTATTGGAAATGAAACATGCATCAAAACTAACATTTTCACTCATCCACAAAAAGTAGGTCAGATTCAGCATCCGAAGCAAGCCTGGAAGTATGCATCCTTAGATGTATCATCTATGCAAGATTGGTCATTAAAGAACTCATAGTTCCTTGGAAATGAAACCTGCACCAAAAACTTTTAACTAATCACTCAACCGGAAAATGTAGGTCAGATTCAGCATCCGAAGCAAGCCTGGTAGTGTGCATCCTTAGATGTATCATCCATGCAAGTTTGGTCAACATAGGGCTTAAAGTTACTTGCAAATGAAACCTGCACCAACAACATTAACCTGTTCGCTCAACTGGAAAATGTAGGTCAGATTCAGCATCCGAAGCAAGCCCGGTAGTATGCATCCTTAGATGTATCATCCATGCAAGTTTGGTCAACATAGGGCTTATAGTTACTTGGAAATGAAACCTGCACCAAAAACTTTAACCTGTTCACACTGGAAAATGTAGGTCAGATTCAGCATCCGAAGCAAGCCCTGTAGTATGCATCCTTAGATGTATCATCCATGCAACTTTGGTCAACATAGGGCTCATAGTTACTTGGAAATGAAACCTGCACCAAAAATTTTAACCTGTTCACTCAACCGGAAAATGTAGGTCAGATTCAGCATCCGAAGCAAGCCCGGTAGTATGCATCCTTAGATGTATCATACATGCAAGTTTGGTCAACATAGGGCTTATAGTTACTTGCAAATGACACCTGCACCAAAATTTTAACCTGTTCACTCAACCGGAAAATGTAGGTCAGATTCAGCATCCGAAACAAGCCCAGTAGTATGCATCCTTAGATGTATCATCCATGCAAGTTTGGTCAACATAGGGCTTATAGTTACTTGGAAATGAAACCTGCACCAAAAACTTTAACCTGTTCACTCAACCGGAAAATGTAGGTCAGATTCAGCATCCGAAGCAAGCCCAGTGGTATGCATCCTTAGATGTATCATCCATGCAAGTTTGGTCAACATAGGGCTTATAGTTACTTGGAAATGAAACCTACACCAAAAACTTTAACCTGTTCACTCAACCGGAAAATGTAGGTCAGATTCAGCATCCGAAGCAAGCACGGTAGTATGCATTCTTAGATGTATCATCCATGCAAGTTTGGTCAACATAGGACTTATAGTTACTTGGAAATGAAACCCACACCAAAAACTGCACCAAAAATGTTAACCTGCTCCAAAAACATTAACCTGGTAATTCCTTTGCTGAAATTGCAGCATCTGAAACTTTGTCTGGTACAATAAAACACACTAAAACCATCTTCCATGCATGTCTAATCAGTATAGGACACAGAAGTAATTAAAAAGAAAACTGCTCCAAAAAACTTAACCTGGGACGCCGACGCCGACGCCGACACCGACACCGACGCCAAGGGTATCACATAAGCTCCCCCCAACTTCGTTGAGGTGAGCTAATTATAATTTCTATCATAAAACAGATAGGGAGTATTGGGGAGTGGGGTTAACATTTATTCAATTAAGTGTAAAATAATTTTTCTGGCTGATATAAATGATACTACATGCCTGTATATATTTGTATATTATTGCCTTTTAATAGCTGAATTTTTTTTTTATTTCTTCAGGTTATTGTTTATTTCTTCTTCAAATGGACTCAACTTCTCCCATAGTTTTATTCATTACATCTGATGCATAAGCAACCCTTTTCTGAAGAATGATGCTTAGACCGAAAGCTATAACAGAGACCTAAACAATGTCACTGGCAATATGCAATAGCTACCACGGGCAGTTTAAAACCTGGGGAAGGAAAATAATTTACAGACAGATACTTTTGAAACGAATACATAATTATCTCACCAATATGTCATTGTGCAACAACGTTGCCAGCATTTTATTTGTCCTTTGAACGGGTGAAACGTTTTGAATGGCACTCGTATCAATGAATTTTACACTAAACCAAGCTATCTTCTCAGATCTAGCTTTATTTACCCGCCGTTTCATCTTAAAACCGGAAGTGCGAGTTCGTCTATTTGAAATCTCGATCCTGACTCAAATTTGACATCGGAAAGAAAAAAATTGTTTTATTTTTTTTCTGAAAATTCAAAACCTTGAGCGGAGGGTTTGTAAAACTGAAAATAAAATAAATCCTGGCCTTAAATATGTAACTAGATCATTAGTATATTAACCAGGAGCAAAGGATAAGATGTTCAAAGAATTCATGCATTTCACTATATAATCATTAGAGCCCCACCCTAAAACAAGAACCCCTGACCCTGGGGCCATAAAATTCACAATTTTGGTAGAGGCACTCTTGCTCATCATAACTATGTACTTAGTTAGTTTATTTAATTCCCAGGAGCAGAGAAGAAGATTTTCAAAGAATTCATGTATTTTCACTATATAATCAATAGAGCCCTGCCCTAACACCAGAACCCCTGACCCTGGGGCCATAAAATTCACAATTTTGGTAGAGGCACTCTTGCTCATCATAACTATGTACTTAGTTGGTTTATTTAATACCCAGGAGCAGAGAAGAAGATTTTCAAAGAAATAATGCATTTTCACTACCTACTTATTTAGCCCCGCCCTAGCACTAAAACCCCTGACCCCAGGGCCATGAATTTCACAATTTTGGTAGAGGACTCATTGCTGATTACAATCATGCAAACAGTTTGACTGCTTGATGTCCAGGAGTAAAGAAGAAGATTTTTAAAGATTGCATTAATTTTAGTGGTTTTGGCCCCACCCCTCAAGGCTCCAGGGGGGCAGGGATCATGAAATTCAAAATTTTTGTTCCCCTTCACCCATAGATGCTTTGTGCCAAATTTGGTTGAAATTGGTTCAGTGGTTGCACAGAAGAAGCTGAAAATGTTCAAATGTTAACACACGACGGACGACGCACCTAATAAAGAAGGATAACCGTCAATTTTGCTTATTTAATATCTCTCTTGTGAACACAAAAATGTACCCGCGGCTTGCACCGCCAAATTACAGTCATGATGCCACAGTAAATAAAAATTATAATTATAAAGAACACCAGTGATATGCGGAACATGTTTTTAAATCTCTAAATCAATGAGAACGACGACAATGCCCAAATTGACTTAATACGTCTACCCTGATACCAATTCATGCTAACTGGCTAATTAGCACTACTCCAAAATCGTACTGATAATTGACCTCATCAAAGGGACATTTGAGCGTATGGACTGTAATGTAAACACTACTTAAACTTAACGGTAAAATTTATTATTTTATTACTTAATGTATATCGTTATCGATGTCTTTGATACTGAAGTTTTAAAAAATGATTTCGGTTTTGTGTCAATAATCACATACAGATTGTCTTCTTTATGCGCGATCACACGGACACTAGGGTAACAATTATTTTACGATACACGTCTGTGTAATCGTAACTTTTAACAAACAATAATATATGTGTTTGTATATACATTCGTGGGGATGTAAATTCATGGTTCAGGGTTACCCACGAAAGCCACGAAGAATGATCCCCCACGAACAATAATGATTCCACAGTATTAGCATAATGTGAAAAAATTCTGTTCAAATTTTGGAGATATATAATATAATGCTATATCAATCCAGGGAGCTCCTGGCACCCCTGGTGAGGTATTATCAGAGGGCTTCTGCGGAAGTTTTACCTCACTGTTATATTGTATGTTATTGAATAAATGATTGAAAAAAAAAAAAAAAAAAAAAAAAGAATAAGTGTGCAAGCCATGGATTTTAATCCACTATAAATGCAGTTCTTCAGAGTGTAACAAATTGAAGCTAAAGCAGAATGAATTTGCAGTAAATAATTATCAGAATGTTATTCTTCATGAAACCTACCTACAAAGTCCCTATCACTTACAGCATCTAAGCTGTTTCCAGATATGTCCAGAAATCCAAGGTCTAAAGTAGACGAAAAATTCAGTACATATTACAATATCATCTGTTCCTCTGAATTAAAATAGTTAACACAGGACAGATTCTGTAGAATGCTGACTTATCTGTTTCTTACCTGAAGCAAGACTTGTTCTGTCTATTGGAAATGGATTTCCAGCCAGTGCCCCACTGAAAAGAAATTTCCAGGAGATATGTAGAAGTTTGTACTTCAGTTTGTACTTCTCCCTGCAATGTTGCTAAATTAAATCTTGCTATTAAAAACTATTAAAGGTTTGTTAATATGTTTAGAAATCATTCCTTGCTTGAAACCAGAAGTCTCTGTCGAGACTGTAGCTCTACTGGTTTGCACTTATAACAAAGGATGAGAAAAGAAGCCATTGCCATCAGACCAAAATTGTAGAAGGAGTAGATTTATAAAGGAATTTCACAGACATTTCTATTTTTAGTAACAATGGCAACACTGTTCATCAAAATCAAAAACTGATGCACTATTTTATATCTTAGTGTAGTCTACTTGTGTGCCAAGTTATATTGAAATCAGACCAAAATTGTAGGAGGAGTAGCGTTTTAAAGGAATTTCCACAGAAAATTCTATTTTTAGTAACCATGGCAACACCGTTCATTGAAATCAAAATCCGATGCACTATTTAATGTATCTTTGTGTAGTCTACTTGTGTGCCAAGTTATATTGAAATCAGATCAAAATTGTAGGAGGAGTAGCGTTTTAAAGGAATTTCACAGAAAATTCTATTTTTAGTAACCATGGCAACACCGTTCATTAAAATCAAAATCCGATGCATTATTTTATGTATCTTTGTATAGTCTACTTGTGTGCCAAGTTATAATGAAATCAGATCAAAATTGTAGGAGGAGTAGCGTTTTAAAGGAATTTCACAGAAAATTCTATTTTTAGTAACCATGTCAACACCGCTCATCGAAATCAAAAACCTTGCACTATTTTATGTATCTTTGTGTAGTCTACTTGTATGCCAAGTTATATTGAAATCAGATCATAACTGTAGGAGGAGTAGCATTTTAAAGGAATTTCACAGAAAATTCTAATTTTAGTAACCATGGCAACACCGTTCATCGAAATCAAAATCCGATGCACTATTTTATGTATCTTTGTGTGGTCTACTTGTGTGCCAAGTTATATTAAAATCAGATCAAAACTGTAGGAGAAGTAGCGTTTTGAAAAATTGTTTACAGACAGACGGACAGACAGACAGAAGGACGGACGACGGACACCTTACTATCGCATAAGCTCTTCTGGTCTCTGACCAGTAGAGCTAAAAATGACATATACCTATTACAAAACATTAAGGTTCACATATATGAATAGCCAATTGTCTGATTTAACAAGTTCCTGACAATTAAATGTCTTTTTCACAATGTTACACATGTACAAATAATTTCCCTTTTCTATGTGACATTTCTCCTAGGGGAATAAAGTATATATATTTTTATTATTGCATTTGAAATATTCTCATATGTCCATTATAAGCTCCAATACCTTGTTAAAAATAGCTTAAGTTTAGATAATTTTAAATAAGTACAGAATTATAGATATTTTACCTTCCCAGTGTCAGAGAACTAACTCTAGTCTGTAATCCTTGTAGACGTTCAAGATCACGCTTCAACATCCAACCATAGCTGCAGAAACAAATATTAAACGTATTTGTAAAAAAACAAATCCCTCTGTTTGGCATTAATACATAGGCCAAGTTTTATTTCCGAGTTCAATCCTTTCTGAGACAGGAAATGCCTATACCTGAGCAACCAGTGGCTCCATCTGATTGGCTGAGCTCTCTGGAGGTGGGTGTAGCCGGGCATCAAAACGTCCATTTCTCTATTGAACAATATATACAGAGGTTAGAATGAAAACTAAGAATGCTGGTTGGATTTTCTTCAGTCAGTGCCTAAGATATTATGTTTACAATTTTAACTGTGTTGCCCTGCTGAGGAAATGTTATTTTTTAGGTTGTATTGAAGTGTTGTTTATAGTTACTGTTTGACCCTACTGAAGTGTTCTTTTTATTTACTAACTGTTTTGTCCTTCTGAAGTGTTGTTTATACAATGTAGTTACTATTTGGTCCTAATGAAGTGTTGTTTATAGTTACTGTTTGGCCCTACTGAAGTATTGATGATAGTTACTAACTGTTTGGAACTACTGAAGTGTTGTTTTTACAATGTAGTTTCTGTTTGGCCCTACTGAAGTGTTGTTGATAGTTACTGTTTGGCCCTACTGAAGCGTTGTTGATAGTTACTGTTTGGCCCTATTGAAGTGTTGATGAGAGTTAATAACTGTTTGGCCCTACTGGAGTGTTGATGAGAGTTAATAACTGTTTGACCCTATTGAAGTTTTGTTGATAGTTACTAACTGTTTGGCCCTACTTGAGTGTTGATGAGAGTTACAAATGTTTGGCCCTACTGGAGTGTTGATGAGAGTTAATAACTGTTTGGCCCTACTGAAGTGTTGATGAGAGTTAATAACTGTTTGGCCCTACTGGAGTGTTGATGAGAGTTACTGTTTGGCCCTACTCGAGTGTTGATAAGAGTTACTAACTGTTTGACTCTACTGAAGTGTTGATGAGAGTTAATAACTGTTTTGCCCTATTGAAGTTTTGTTGATAGTTACGATTTGTTTGGCCCTACTTGAGTGTTGATGAGAGTTACAAATGTTTGGCCCTACTGGAGTGTTGATGAGAGTAAATAACTGTTTGGCCCTACTGGAGTGTTGATGAGAGTTACTGTTTGGCCCTACTGGAGTGTTGATAAGAGTTACTAACTGTTTGACTCTACTGAAGTGTTGATGAGAGTTAATAACTGTTTTGCCCTATTGAAGTTTTGTTGATAGTTACGATTTGTTTGGCCCTACTGGAGTGTTGATGAGAGTTACAAATGTTTGGCCCTACTGGAGTGTTGATGAGAGTTAATAACTGTTTGGCCCTATTGAAGTTTTGTTGATAGTTACGATTTGTTTGGCCCTACTGGAGTGTTGATGACAGTTAATAACTGTTTGGCCCTACTGGAGTGTTGGTAAGAGTTATTAACTGTTTCGCCCTACTGAAGTGTTGTTGATGGTTACTATCTGTTTGGCCATCTTGAAATGTTTTTAAGAGTTACCATTTGGCCCTGTTGAAGTGTTGGTAATAGTTACTGTTTGGCCCTTCTGAAGTGTTGTTTATATTTACTGTTTGGCTCTACTGGAGTGTTGTTGAGAGTTACTAAATGTTTTGGGCCTACTGATAGTTAATAACTGTTTGGCCCTACTGATAGTTACTAACTGTTTAGCCCTGTTGAGGATTACTGTGACAAAGGTCTGTAGCTCAGTCTTGAGGACTAGGAGTGCATTCTTCATCCACAGTCTCATGTCTGTGCTGACCTGGTCATTACGACTGCGTCCTGTATGTAGTTTGCTGGCTGCACTACCAATCAGCTCCTATAATTACACGTGAACGTATGTGTATTGTCATATAGAGTAGGACTTATTATAGAACTTTTATTGTCTCAATTTTTATGTTAAAAAACAATTACCTTTTTTGAACTATTCTTCAAGTTGTTAAATTTCTTTAACTTCTAACTTCAACTTTTTAGCCGGAATATATGCTCCTCCATATTTAACATTAATAACTAAGACATAATTATTATTCATGTTAAGAAGTTAGAAGACTTGTTGTCAAAAAAATCTATTTCAAATGTGAATCTTATATATTGAAATATTTGACATTTTTGTGACCACATGTCTTTATCAATGTTAGTTTGATCTTAAGTTATCTTGTCATAATGAATAAATTTACTACTTTCTATTCAATTATTCAGTGTATTACTGTAGGAAATACACTGTGATGCTATTGCAACATTGTTAGTCACTTTCACAATGTTAATATTGACTCTGAAATGTTAGAGATTAAATCAAACACAAAACAAGAACAAATACATACCATGCAGTAAAAATCTATAATAAGTAATCAGGCAATAAATGAATTGATTTAATTCATTGAATCTGAATGAGCAAAGCAATGAGATGCCAATATCAACAGGTCTTATTTGTTTATCAGGAAATTTTCATTTTCTCTGTTTATTGAGCACTTTTTTCTTGGCAGAAATAGGACACATTGCCTTCATTATCAACTAATCAATAATAACACATATGCCTGGCCTATTGAAATTGCCATTTTCTCCTGTTATCAACTGATGGCAAGAATTTAAAATTGGCAATTAAGACTTGCTAATATTTAGTTGATTGTTATTCATTTTCACTATTTTTGAACATTAACATTTCAGTTGCAACAAAAGTACATTTCTCTTTTCTTCTATCTGTTGCTATTCAGTCATAAATGAATCACTATATGATACTAGTTTATCAATTCTAGCGGTATTAAAGAATTTTGAAAGAAATGCAACATTGCTTAAACTCACTTTTAAAAAAAGGACACATACATGTATGTCAAATGTAATTAAATATTTGTCCCTCAGATAATGATTTTCATATTGAAGCCTGATTTGATCCTATTGAGCATTGAGAAACCCAGGATGCTCAAAACCCAAGAAAGTCATCAGGGAACAGTGAATGTTTGGTTCAAGTGAAAAAAAAATCCTAAGCAGTATTGATGATATTAACCTTCGTAACAGTTTTTTTGTCCAATATCCCATACAAAATATTCATCATTCAAGCAAAATTATTTTCTAGATATGCAACTACTATATATGTTGACTGGTAGCACCCACTGAATCAGCAGTGCTGAAAATATGATTTGTCTACTCTGACATACACTTCTTCCAAAGGGGTTTAATTACCGGGGTAATCTGTGATCCCTTTATCAGGAGTATACAAGCATAAGCCTTTCACTACCTCAAGCACAGTAAAATGGATATCCTTATCATGAGTTGAAGATAATTCAAATAAAAAATATATTTTTGACTTAAATTTTCCCTAGAATTTAATCCTTTTTTTCACACCTTTAGTCTTCTTTCATTGGCTGTGTGAATGTCCTCATCTGAATCCTTAATATCAAATGTCCCACTCTCCCACTCCTCGCCCACCTGTAATTATATACATAATTGTAAATTACGCAAAGATATAGAGGATGAATATCATTTATACTCATATCTCCTTAATCACTTATTTAGGAAAGAAATTCATAATAGGAATCAGGATTAATTACTTTTTACTCACAAACTGAATAAAAATGTGAAGCACTATGGCTATGTCATACAACAGTATTATTACTTTTTTCTTTCATCACTTTAAAGATATATGTTTCATTTTCTATTTATATATAATTGTACAATTTGTAATATGCCATAGGATGTTTATCATTTATAGCAATAAATAAAGAAGAAGTCTGTGAGCCAATCCTCACTAGTAATATGCCCACGCTGATGTGTATGCAAGTTCTGTAATCGACAGATGCATGGATAAGTAGGAAGTTGACATCAGATTCATACAAAAATAAATCCCACCATATGGCATGCTTCAACAAAGTATTTGCTAAAATTTCAATCATCTGGCTCTGCAATGATTAGTTCCTGAGAAAACTGCTACAAAAATTTGTTTTCTATGGTAGATGCACAGACACACAGGAAGTTGCCATCGGATGTGAACCAAAAAAAAACCTTACCATATGGCATGCCTCAGAAAATAAAAGAATGTTCTAAAATTTCAAGCATCCGCAATGAATATCTATAGTTGCTGAGAAAACTGTGACCAAAAATTTGTTACGGACAGACAGAGAGAGGGACTGACAGAGAGACAAAGGTAAAACAGTTAGCCCCCTTCACCTTCTGAGGAGGAAGAATAAATAATATATATGTAAAGGTACCTCATTCTTTACAGAGGATATTAATAATAAAATAATTAATAACAGAACTTATTTTGATATGGTTATACATGCAATTAGAAAATTACCTTTTCTAGACCAGATAAAATTGACTGACACTCCTCTTCAGAAACCAGTCCTACTTTTTGGATAGCTCTAACATAAGCCTTGCTCCCCTGAAATTAAAAAAAAAATGTAACCACATGCTTAAAATTGTGTCTGTGTGAAAGGGGGGGGGGGGCACATACCTGCAGATCTTCTCTCCACATCCGCTTATCGATTTGAATAGAAGCATTGAATTTCTCCATAACAGGATCAGTAGCACCAGTAAATCGACCACCCCATAGTTTCTGCTTCTAAAAAGCAAAACGTTTAAAGATAAAAAAAAAATAAATAAATGATTTTCAAATTTATGCATTTGTTACAAAAATTTCCACTACCTCCATAGCTGGATTTGGCGCTCAAACGTCAGCTGATAAATCCCTTGATGCAGTCAGTTTTCTGCAAGCTGTTCCAACTGGTGCAAATCGTCAACTGGTCAAAGAAGCTCAGTAATTTACAGCTTCTTTCTAAAAATCGACTGCTGGGGCTACAGAGGATATTCTAGGCACTTTTTGTTTACATCACGTGATACAAATAGCACAGAATAATAAAATGCGGAAATAATTGAAAAAAAAAAATAGAATGCTTTTGTTTAAAGCATAGTTTTTAATTTGGAAATTCAGACAGAAAAAATATTTTAGCAAATCTTAATGAAGTAAACAAGCCGATTTTTTTTTAATTTATTAGAACTTACAAGGTAATTATTATTGTGCCATATATTCTACTGTCAGAGGTTGACTTAGTTATCTGTTTATATTGGCTTGTAGATTTATAATGTGAAGTTGACAATTCTTTACGTCGACTCCTCAGAAAATCATTTTCAAAACCCATTGCACCCATGTTCAAAAAGTGACACAAAAGAACCTAAAGGACCAAAAATAAACCCAAAGGCACTCTTAATTAATAAACATTTTTCATATATACATAATTGAAAGTAAATTCATTGGGTTTGGGAAAAACTTTCGGTTTTGCGGGTGGAGGATAATCTATTAAATCAGGGTGAATAAACTAATAAAGTGTTAATTAAACTATTACAGTTTGATGCAGAACTTTCAGAGTCTTAAAATTATTTCGAGAATACATATAATAAATATCGTTGCTATTTTGACCAAAAAACGATAATTCCTTAACTTTTTTTCTATCCTTTCTGAGCAATCAGACCGATGACGGTATCACTACTTGAAATAAGGCGCTAACTTACTAAACTGAATATTCATTTTATTCTTTAAAAAAAATCGAGAGAAAAAAATCATATCTTTGAAACTGAAGTGAAGGATACAAATGGCAACATAAATCTTTTAATGGAAAATATTACAACAGATGAAAATGAACAAACAAAAACACTTTTTTTTTCGATGTTTGAAATATATGTAGTCTGAGAGACTCCTTAGTTTCAATTTGTTTCAATTATCTCACTAACCCCAAGATGTAACCATGGGACAATAACTTTTATATAAGTATCATAGTGTCACATTGACCCTCCAAACAGTTTTCTATTTTTATACATTTATTTGACAACACAGTGCTCCACATTTCAGTTCTTGGATAAAATTTCCTGGTCTCTTAAACTGAAGCGAGAGGGAATTATCACGGTGTGATTTTTGAGAAAAACAATTTTAGTGACATTTTAGCTGACTTTGAAATATACTCTTAATTTACTGTTATTAATTTAACCAACTTGAGAAACTTTAATTATGTTAATTACTATGTAACTCCGAATCTGAAAATTAATTATTTGATCAATTTACTCAACATGTCATGAGTTATTCCATCTAAGCCATATGTCACTCATGCTCAGTATTGTGCTAATTGCCATTGTTATAATTAATTATTTATATGTTACATGAATCATTGTTAATCAGTTAACTCCTAGGCTTCGGATTGTTCGGGTGCAATTTTTGGATTTCCAGAAGCCCTACCACCTCAGTTTATAATAAAGTGCTATTCCATCGTTAGCATTTTTATGTTTTATTGTTGCCGGAAAGTTTGACACTTAATTTTCCCCGGTGATATAAGTCTCAGGGCATGGGACAGATATTTTTTTTTAAATAACAATGCCATGGGACACGCACTTTTTTAAATGGGGATTTTGTTTTTTACTGGTCCCATCATTGTGATAAAATTTGCCTGGTCCCTAAACTGATCGGAAGAGGTATATTTTTAATTCTTTCATAGTAAAAGAAAAATTCTTTCATATTAAATTAGGTATGGTATGAGAGCATGCAGAGACCATATAAAACCACTGGCTTTATATGTCTCTGATGAGAATTATTATTTCTTGGAACGAAAGAAAATAATTATTGGTATATGTTTTACAGCAATAAAATATATTATGCATAATCAAAGATCCATGGTTGCGTCAATAAAAAATCCGTAATAGCCGATTGTTTCTGAAGAGATTTTTTATTCATTTTTAAACCTAGTTGGATTAAGCGTTTTCGAGAATCAGATTTGTGACGTAATTTTGAGGCATTGGAGATTGTATTCATGAATTGGAGAAGGTTATTGTTAATTTTTACCGTTTAGATTGAGATAAAAGAGAAGTTTAAAAATGTTGATTGGTGTATTGTGAGAAGAACACATCTTTTTACACGTTAACATTTGAAGCACAGTTAATGTAAGTATCTATTTCTTTAATTGAGATGTTATTTAACCGCTAAACGGGCTTGTCACAATCACTGACAGTCTTTTTGGCATACCCTAATCTATACAATGTTATCAAAACGAAAGAACACGAATTTATCGTGAAAATCCCCAGTGCCCAGTTAATTTCTTTGCGTTTCTTACAGTGTAACGTTAGATCTTTTACCTTTGTAAGAGTCTCTCCATTTGATCTCAAATTATGTTCAATAAGAAGATGGAAGATGAAATTCAGATATATTTCGTAACATAGAAATATTCATCTATATATAAATAACTTAAAATAAATTAATACAAAAGCCGAATTTCCAGCAGGTTTGTCAAGTCTTTGAAAAGACATGTCTTTAGTGTGACCATATGCATAACGTCTGTTTTTCTCAAATGTACGAAAAGTTAGGGAAGAATTTCATTATATCCTTATTCTTATTATTCTATATTAAATAGGGTAAACAGACTCTGTGCGAACAAGTTTTAGTGCGATAGGACTCTGGGCGAACGGCATCATGGGTTAACAAATTTTAGGGTAAACGAACGTACAGTACAATCGTATAGACACATACCCTCTGTCGATGTTATTGATTATACCCTGCCTTTGGATCTAGAGGGTCATTTTGCAAAAGAACTTATGACTAAGACCATGAATTAAAAAAAAAATGATTGTAAAATTTTTCAAGATTAATCATTAATATTTTGTTTCAAAATGTAATTGTAAACATTTCTTACCAAACACCTTTTAAAATAATAATTTTTATTCATTGTCAATAAAATGTTATGCAGAATTTAAATTTTGGCAAAATAATCTTATTAATTTGTTTATTTCTTTCAGCAGGAGCTCTTTATTTATTATGTTATTTTAATCATCTGATTCATTAAAATAATCAAAGAATGAAAAACAGGAATATTGCTGTATTGCACACAGGCACTTGTTTCGGAAATAAATTATAACCCATAGTGTAATAATAACACAAGGTATCTAAACTCAAAATTACAAGGAGTACCCCTCTCCCTTAGAATCGTGCTCATTTACACTTTCAGAGAAAAGGCAGTGGCAAACTGTTTATACCTATGTCATCTACGATAATTTATCTACACAACCATATATGGCTTGCTTGTCTTTGTTTTCTTTAATCTGGCTCCGTAAACAGCGTCAAAAATCTACTTGCCGAGTGCTAATCCTGGGCAAAGAGAAAAATTAAAGAATGCCTGGGTTTAAAAATTCAATTCCAGATTTTAAATATTGCATTGAATAAAAAAAATTTGATAGTGTCTTATTTTCCATAAAAACACTACAATGTTCTTCCGATGTAATTTTAGAAACAGATTTTTAGCAAATCAAATTCGAGGTCTTACTCTAATTCTTTGCTTATGGGTTAAAATTTATTTCCGAAACAAGTGCCTGTGGTATTGCATTATTAAATTCTCAAGTGCCCTTGTTTGTATGTACAATAGGCTTTTTAGCTCACCTGAGCCAAAGGCTCAAGTGAGCTTTTCTGATCACATTTTGTCCGGCGTCCGTCTTTCTGTCTGTCCGTCTGTCTGTCCATAAACTTTTCACATTTTCGACTTCTCAAGATCCACTGGGCCAATTTCAACCAAACTTGCCACAAAGCATCCTTGGGTGAAGGGGATTCAAGTTTGCTCAAATGAAGGGCCACACCCTTATTCAAGGGGAGATAATTGGTAATTAATGAAAATTTGGTGGTATGTTTTAAAAATCTTCTTCTCCAGAACCACTGTGCCATGAAAGATGAAACTTATGGGGAAACATCCTCAGGAAGTGTAGATTCAAGTTTGTTCAATTCATGACCCCCGGGGGTAGGGCGGGGCCACAATGGCCGACCTAAGTTTTACACAGAAATATATAGGAAAATTCTTTAAAAATCTTCTTCTCAAGAATGACAAAGCCATAATTCATCATATTTATATGGAAGCATGCTCAGGTAGTGTAGATTCAAGTTTGTTCAAATCATGACCCCCGGGGGTAGGGCGGGGCCAAAATGGCCGACCAAAGTTTTACACAGAAATATATAGGAAAATTCTTTAAAAATCTTCTTCTCAAGAATGACAAAGCCATATTTCATCATATTTATATGGAAGCATGCTCAGGTAGTGTAGATTCAAGTTTGTTCAAATCATGACCCCCGGGGGTAGGGTGGGGCCAAAATGGCCGATCAAAGTTTTACATAAAAATATATAGGAAAATTCTTTAAAAATCTTCTTCTCAAGAATGACAAAGCCATATTTCATCATATTTATATGGAAGCATGCTCAGGTAGTGTAGATTCAAGTTTGTTCAAATCATGACCCCCGGGGATAGGGCGGGGCCAAAATGGCCGACCTAAGTTTTACATAGAAATATATAGGAAAATTCTTTAAAAATCTTCTTCTCAAGAATGACAAAGCCATAATTCATCATATATATATGAAAGCATGCTCAGGTAGTGTAGTTTGAAGTTTGTTCAAATCATGACCACCCGGGGTAGGGTGGGGCCAAAATGGCCGACCAAACTTTTACATAGAAATATATAGGAATATTCTTTAAAAATCTTCTTCTCAAGAATGACAAAGCCATAATTCATCATATTTATATGGAAGCATGCTCAGGTAGTGTAAATTCAAGTTTGTTCAAAGCATGACCCCCGGGGGTAGGGCGGGGCCAAAATGGCCGACCAAAGTTTTACACAGAAATATATAGGAAAATTCTTTAAAAATCTTCTTCTCAAGAATGACAAAGCCATAATTCATCATATATATATGAAAGCATGCTCAGGTAGTGTAGTTTGAAGTATGTTCAAATCATGACCACCCGGGGTAGGGCGGGGCCAAAATGGCCGATCAAAGTTTTACATAGAAATATATAGGAAAATTCTTTAAAAATCTTCTTCTCAAGAATGACAAAGCCATAATTCATCATATTTATATGAAAGCATGCTCAGGTAGTGTAGATTCAAGTTTGTTCAAATCATGACCCCCGGGGTAGGGCGGGGCCAAAATGGCCGACCAAAGTTTTTAAAGATATATATAGGAAAATTCTTAAAAAATCATTTTCTAAAAAATAGCAAATCCATGATTGGTCATGGGACTACTTTTGGATTTAAACTTTACAATAAAAAGCCGTTTTCTACTTTTTCCTACCCTTAGTGCTCAGGTGAGCGATGTGGCCCATGGGCCTCTTGTTGATATTAGCTTAAATCTGGTTTTGAAAAAATTGGGGTGTATATAATTATAAAAGATAAAGGTATGAAACTCGATCCATACATTGGGTTCCCAATTTCACTAATTAAATACTTTTTTAAATCAAATACTCTAAAATATTATTTTTATTTATGTCTATTCATAAATAAGGCTGTCCAAAGTTAATTCTATGTTTAATGTCACCTGCATGCCTAGGTTTTGGAAAAATTGCCACTTTGAAAAAACAAACAAATTGTATTTTTTTAATGCTTATGTTCTGGTTTGCTGTTATTTTTAGCAGCTAAAAACTACATTCCATAGAGAGACAATATGAGGGCATTCTGATTCTGAACAGTAACTCTAATCAATCTATCATTTAAAGTTTCTTGTTTACTGAGATTGATTATTTAATGAAAACCCTGTACATGATTAAAATTATTGACAGTATTTCAATTCATGTAGATAAGTAAATACAGTAAAACTCGGTTATAACAACATGAACAAAGCCTTTGGGATCTATGAATTTTTTTGCTATATATCCATAACTCATTATATCCATATAAGGAGTTAGTTATGAAATCAATTTCAAAATTGACCTACTTTTTTTACTCAACATTAACTTGGACCCCCTAGGCCATTCACATGTATAAGTGAGACTGTGTTTGAAAAGCAGTGAAGAGATGCATAGGTCACCGTCTAGTACTTGCACAATCTTTCAACATTTTTAAGTTGATTTCTTACTCCAGTTCATAAGGTTAAGTCCATAATAAAATCTTTCAGGAATAAAACAGTTTGAATACATCTGCATCAACAACTGCACTGCCATGTTGATTATGAATTTATGTAAAAAGAGTTATGATTGAATGGATTTTCCCTTTAATGTACAATATACGATTATATAAACTTAAAAAATCTTCCCTGTATCGACAGTATCATAACAAAAATATAAAATATAAGACTGTCAGATTTTATAATAGTAGCACAGATTGATTCATTTTCTATTGTATTTAATGCATCATGCTCACATATACAGATTTTATCAAATATGAAAAAAAATTTCTCCAAAAAAAATCATTTTTTTATACATATAAAATACAAATACATAACATGAATTGGTATAATTGGAAAGGTCTTCTAAGTTCTTACAGGTAATGCACTGCCACAGGTCAATTTAAATGTGAAAGTATACACTAGCTATTACAGTTATGGTTTTCAATAGTGTAGTTCTGTAGTGTACTTTTAACCAAAAGGATTATGAGCAAATATCATGGAATCAATCACAAAAAGAAATGCTAATAGTAATTTTACTTACTATGAATACATACATATACATAAAATATCTTTAAATAAACTGACTCAATAGAGAAGTAATGGATATATGCCGAATACTGTTCTATATGTAAAATTATCAGACTGTTTGAGGCCCGTTAGGGCCGAAAACTGTCTGATAATTTTACATATAGAATAGTATGAGGCATATATCTTACTTAAAACATTGCCATTTAAATGTCCAAAAATTACCTGTAGGAGTCCGATAATAACACAATGGGAGTTCAGACATCAATTGTATTTTACCCGTCTAATAAGTGGACAAAAGAAAAGAGACAGATAAAGAATTGGTGAACTGTTGTTTCATTTCATTCATTCAATGGCAGTCGTTTAGATAAGCAGGACAGGGGTCCGTTGGGGAAGGATTTCCTTTTTATTTTGGAACATTTTTATTTATTTTGTGCATAAATTTTTTTTGGGGTGAAATTACCACCGTCACCATGGAAAGTAACATGCGAATTTTCATCCTGGAGTTTTAGTTTATAGAATGGAAATTCTCAGCTTTTACAAGTGCAGCCATTTGGAAACAATCCTTATAAAAGATATAAATTTGTCGATTTTTCTCAAAAAATTCGATTATACAAAGTGCTGTATCAAAAACACTTAAAAGATGGGAATTATTAATTTTGAAGATGGTTTAAACTCGATTTTTTCATGGATTTTCTAGTTTGTAGCAACTTAATTTCCTTGCGATTGCTTTCCCTAATTTTTTTCTTTTTTTGGAGGGGGTGGTGGTCGGGGGTGGGTGGAAATATTTAACTTATTCCACTCTTCTTTTTGTTTTTAGATACCGTCCGATTTTGTTATCATTGCCGTCTGATAATATATTATCAGACTGGTAATTATTATTATCGGACGGCTACAGGTAAATTTTTAGACTGCAAGAACAAAGGCATGACGTCACAGCAATGTTTTAACCTCACATATTGTGTTGAGATTTGTAGTGTTTGAAAAATTATGAATGAATAGAAACAGTGACAAAACTTAAAGCATATTGAAGTTGTGAATGTAAATTGGTGTAGTGAATAAGGCATGTGATCCTGATGTTATCCAATGGTCTGATGGCAGTACGTCTTTTATATATAAAAGGCAAATGTCGATCATTAGCTGATAAGTATAAGTCTGACATGCAGTAATTAGCATAAGGAAGAAGAAAGAGTACCCGGTAATCAGAAGAGAAAATCAATGTTAATACTGCCTCGGTAATGTCCTGTATTGTGTGGATAAGACCCTTCAAGACAGGTGCTGCAGTGAAAAACTCCAAAGTTGTCATGGTAACATTGACATTTTATAGTTGATAAATACCATAAATAACAGGTTTTGTCATTAAATCTGACCTTGATAAAAAAAAATGAAAATGCATGATAATTTTGAATATTGACCAGGTTTATAAGTGATTTAAACAATTACTAGGATTTCTAATCAGTTAAAAGATAGATATATGAAAACTGAATTCTTAGTATGTGTCTCTTGGCCCTCATTTACATGTGCTACCCCAGTAGCTATAATCATCTGCCTGTCCATTCATAATTCTGAAATTTGATATTACTTTGAATAATAAATATATTTTTGTACAATTTTTATACACGCAGGAATAGTTCAGTCATGAAAAACATGCAAGGTGACAAAATTACAGCTTAATTATTTTTCTTAATGAATTATTTTACTGAACTCTATCATCATAATTCTGTTTGTTATTCATCATTTGCATGAATTTTTTTTTTTAATCTTCTAGATCTTGCTTTCAGTTTCATATTATTATTCTACTTTCTTATTCAGATTCCTCCTAAGAAAATGCATGCACCAATAATTATGCCACAATGTACATGATTGTGTATATTTATATGCTTCAGATTTGTTGATTGTTTTCTTTGATCCTCCCCCAGATGTGAGCTTTATCGTGGAGTTTTCTTATGTAAACACAGGTAACAACTGTCTGAATGGGACAGGGAGCCAGTTTAATACGTAATGACATTCACACGACTCATGTTTACACCACATCACAGCGAAACAACACCAACCTAGCCGGCAATAACCAGGATAGACCAACATCTCCAGAAATGGTCTGTGAAAGTTGTAGTGCCAGCTTCAACATCTTCAACAGAAAGGTCAGTTCTGGCCATTTTATTAGTTAAGAAAAAAATCTAGTTTCTTTTTAAAGCAGGAAGTATGGGAGATATCAAATTACACATACTTTGATAGATAAATATATTTACACACAACTCTGTTTCTCCTCTATCATGGCTTAATTATTATAACTATATCAGGTATTTTCTAGTTTCATTAAGGTTGTTGATCTATTACTATTTTTTTTTATTTTTGAAAATATCATTTGTCTGTATCACAAACCAGAATTAAATGGAATGAAAAACTTAATAAGTATATATAGGAAATCTAAATGTCATATTTATGAATATAATAGTCTTGTATCAATGAAAGTGACTCATTCTGGTGCTGCGTAATAATGAAAAATTTTAATGAGGGTTGTTGTTTGTTCATGTCAGTTGGATTGTTGTTAATTAACTGAGAAGAACAGAATAGGGATGGTTGATTAACAACTGTTTGTAGGGTTTATATTCTTTCTTTGGCATAAAATTTGAGATGCATACAATCAATACATGTGCAAATAAGGAATGAATTTTATAGCTACCTAAATTATACTGACGTATATACCTTATATATGCCAGTTTTGGAATTTATATTGGACAGTCTTTATTTTGTCTTATATCATTTTGATGTTGACGTACAACACATTATATGATATAAACATATTTTCAACCCAATCACATGATGTAAATTATAAATGTAATAATTTTGAAGAAAGAATTTTAAATTTTGCCATAATGATGGCATGTCAGTACCTGTATTGAAGCTATCAGACAATGATATAGAGTACATATCACAAACATGCTCCAAGGTCTGGTTACTTTTTCTCAGTTTCCTCCTCATGAGGAAGTTTACAAGCAGTGCAAGTACGATTAGACTTGTTTATAAGTATATCTCGCTTGTTATCAAAGGGAAATGTCACATACTTAACTCAGAAATTGACTGCCTCACATTCCAAAACAACAGTTATACATGTATTTAAATAAAACAGTTTTATTTAAAAAATACCAAATTTTTTGTTTGCTATCATATTATACAGAATAGTAATACTCATATTAAGTACATGTCAAGTAGTTTTGCACATGTGGTTTACTATGGCTGAAAAGGTGGAATTGCAGGTACAAATTTGTGATCATGCATCAAAAACAGAAGTCAGTACTCTGTATCAATCAATGTCTGACAGCCCAATGGATGACTTTTCTATAAATAGTTGTGACATCATCTGACTTAAAGTTGTCAGATAAGAATACAGAGTTTCCTGAAAAGATATACTTGCATGTCATACAGCCAAAAATAATCATCAAACACTTATTGCATGGTATACTCTGAAGTAAAAAAAAAAAAAAAAACAGGAGGTCCATAGGCCACAATGCTCACCCGAGTCATTTAACTATTCCTTGTTTTTCTATTTAACTTCAACTTTTTATCAGATAAATATCTGAGGGTATTCCAATTACATGTATTACCTGAGATGATATAGCCAAAGTTGATGTACCACTCCTCTTCTCTTTCCCTTACCTGGCGAAAATGACCTGAAATATCTTACATAAGTTGATTAGCTACATTTAAGAATGAAAATGAAACATTAGGATTTCAATCATTTTATTTAGCCTTTAACTAAACTAAGAATGAATCAACCCCACTTACCATTGTACAAATCTTGACAACAATTATATGTTCTGTATATATATGTCAAATAAAATGGGTCTTCTGGACATATTTCTATGTTACTAAACCCATGTGATTATTTAATTACCGCAGTAATCATTATTTTATGATGAATTTGTAGAAACTATGTAAGGACTGTGGACGCTACTTTTGTGCAAACTGTGTGATGCAGCTACAACAGAATGTCAAAAGATCACACCGCCAGTGCAAAAAATGCAACATTCTGACCACAGGCAACTTTACGAGGCAGGACCTCCAGAAATGGAAGGTGAAAGATCTCCGTTCAGTGCTCAACAAGCGGAACATCTCCACTGAAGCGTGTACAGAGAAGCATGACCTTATTGACCTCTTAGTAATCACATTTGGTGTGGTCAGTCAGGGTAACTCAGGAGATAGGTCTTCCAGTACAGCACAAACCACAGTAAGTCAATTACTTAATCAATGAAGGCAGCATAATTTTCGCCCTTTCACACGTGCAAACAATTTTGCCCCGTTTTAAATTCGCCCATTCATAGTTTTATTACAGAAATTATATGTATTATTTCATTTCGCCCTGTTTTAAATTTGCCCAAATGAGGATTGGGCGAAAGGGGTGAAAATAAAACGGGAGCGAAAAATTCCCTGTATACAGTGATTTTCAAAACATTCATCAGAACTGTCCAACTGGAAAATGTTCAGGAAGGCATTTTGGCACACCTGAGCTCAAAATTTGAAAATGAAATATGAGAAGCTCATATCTGAGACAAAGATTGCAAATTGTCTGAAAGTGTTTTGAAATCTTGACTCAAGGCATTTGCAAGGTTAGGGTCACATGTAGAAAAAGTGCATAATTTGCATCCAGTCCATAACTTTTTCTGAAGGACCCTCTCTACACCTGTGCAAAATGTTTTTTGTACATTAATAACAAAAATATATTTTATGAAGGTGTTAATATTGAGCATATTTATAAATTAATTTATTTTAACTATATGATACATGGCATTTATCACCAGGAAAATTAATCAAACACAACACAGTATCAGTGAATAGAAATAACTGTTGTTTACTTCCACAGAGAAAATACATGTAAAAAACATTTCCAGTTAATTTATCTTTGCCTTTTAAAATATTAAGAATACTTGAATTGATTACAAAATTGTGTAATATAATGTAAATTTCTAAAAATTTTTTTAGAATTTAGATCTAAAGGCAGATCACAATTGCAGAAAAATACCATAAAACCAGGAACTTTTTTGTGTGCATTGTAGAGAGTTCTGAAATAAACCAACACAGTATCAATGTTGTTTTTGTCTTTTTCAGATTACAATAACTGGTAACCGTGGTGACTTACAAGAACAGGAATCCACATCAACAAGCAGTAGTGAGCAATCTCCATCACCGCAAGGAGTTCCTGTGGCGTCCAGGGCTGCCGCAGGCTCTGTACCATCCAGTGTCAACAATCAACAGCGATCTCAATCCCTCCAGGAACCCCAGGCACAGCATGTGGTAAGTGTCGTCATAATTAACAGATTAATTGTCTCTTCTCAAGTGACCTAAATCTTAATCATCTCTTCGTAATTATAAATTGTAAAATTTTGTTTATAAGAGTGTTAAAAATAAGGGTGTATTTATGTTCAGAAAAAAAACACCAATTTTCAGCTAGGATGTGGGGATGGGAGGTGATTTTTATTGTTTTCATGGCATAAAGATATCGAGACCAATGAATTTACATCTTCTGTAGAATTTTTAAATTTCAAGAAAAATTTCACTATTTTTCAATCACAATATCAAATTTTCCAATAACTATACTCTAGCCTCAAACTATAAAAATTGACCAAACAAAAATTAAGGAATTTACTACTGTAGATCACAAAATTTTTGTGACACCTTATTTTTGTGAGATAGTCATTAAATCTTGAAAAATGGGACATAATTTTCACGAATCATGGTTATTGCTCTATTTAACTCACTATAAAGTCCATTTCTTTTTTCTCTGTAATAATTCTTTGAAAGTTAAGGATTTGTTTGATAATCATACTTGAATGTAAATTTCGACAAGTGAAAGGTCAAGTGCCTGATATGCATGTCAATCTCGTGCAGCTGTCTTTTTGTCTGATGTCATTGGGCATACCCAACAAACTAGACAGTGATTCCTTAAACAATGCCCACTTTGGTATATCTTACAGTGGTTTGTCAGTTGTCCTTTCAGAGACAGATCAAACCTCCTTAACCTACATTGTGATTCTCATAAAATATAAGCAACAGTCTTTATAATCTTATTTTAGTACTTCATAGGAAATAAGTCATCTATAATGAATTGAAATGAAAAAGAAGGATAAGTATACATGTATATGGATGACATTTAGATGATCTCCTGTTATTGTTTATATCCAGGAGGAGCCGCAGCGATCCCACTCCTTACAGCAGAATGAATCGGAGGCTGCCCGCGCGGAACGGTTACGTCAGCGACAGCTGGAAGAAATGAGGGTGGCCGAAAGACTTATGGAGGAGATGAGGAGAGCTGATAATGAGGTGGGTGACTTATGTATAAGTAGCGTACTTAAGGTTGTTTGCAAAATCTATCAAATTAAGCATTGTCAATGTCAACACTGCCTTTATTTTTCCTTCTTGATAGCATCAAGTCCAGCAGGAGAGGGCAAAGCGATATACCCTAGACAATATAAAATCAGAAGAAGACATAGAAACACTAACTGTGAGACAGATGAAAGAGGTCCTGGTGAACAACTTTGTAGATTACAAAGGCTGTGTGGAGAAAACAGAACTACAACAAAAGGTCACTCGACTATGGAAGGAACACCAAAACAACAAACAAAAAAGTAGGTTCAGTTTTAGTTGTTTATTAAATGTAAAGAATAAGCCCTCTGCAAACATTCTAAAATTTTGGTCCAAGGTTTTAGGCCAAAGATGAGAGGAAGTAAATTATATAATGACAATTAATTTCTCTTTCCTCTTAAATATGGTGCTGTTACAATTTCTGCAATTACATGTATTAAAAAATGTTTAAAAAATAAGAGTCTAAACTCTAAAGTAGAGAGTTTCAGGTCAAACTCGAAAAAGGATATGCAGATACTGTTAGGTCTAATGTTCATTGTTATTCATTGTTAATTGTAACTGATTTATATTCTGACTTTTGTATTTCTTTCCATTGCAGCACAAGAAATCATAAATGCATCAGAAAGTAAGTACAATGATATTATATTTTTAGACAGTTATAAAACTTCAATTTTAGATTCAAACTGTTGTATGTTCCAAGATTCTTTTTTCTTCATTGAGAATTCTTTGCATTCTTTTCTGAAATATTAGTAAGACATACATGTATATTTTGATAACTTGAGTAATAGTCCTCAGTATCAAACATATCGTTAATGACCACAAGTTTATATTAAGTCCATCTTAATTTATTGAAATTTTAGATGCCCCAGGAGGAGTAGCCACATCGGCTGAAGATGAACTGTGTAAGATCTGTATGGATGCAGCCATTAACTGTGTACTCCTAGAGTGTGGTCACATGGTTACCTGTACACAATGTGGGCGTCGTCTCGCAGAATGTCCAATCTGTCGACAGAACGTCGTACGAGCTGTCCACATATTTAGGAGTTAATAATAATGTTTGTTACAGTGAGCACAATGCTTAGAGGACCAGAGATCATGTGATATCCATTCATTCAAACAAAATGACCAAAAATAAACTTGAAAATAGTCCCATTACTTTGGTGCCATATATCTATTTTTTGAAGGATTTGATATTCTTTATTCATTCACTCATAACAGAACATGGATGCTTGTACATTCAACAAATAAACACGAGTGCCCTCTGTTATTTTGATGTACAGTCTGTAATTTCACTCAGTGTGTTTTATATGAGATTATATGGAGTGACTCTTTATTGACGTTTTGTTGCATTTCCAAGAAATTTTTCGATGTGATATACCAGTATTATATGCATTATTTTAGGAACATTAATGGAATCAAGATTCATACTGGATGCTAGTGAGAAAGTGCAAGTGACATTGTCATATCTGATGAGATGCAACTTACTGTTGTATTCTGAAAATTTATACTTTTATGCTGCAGGCTGGTTATATATTACATGTACTTCCAAAAATAAACTGTCTCTGAATATTTCAGCAAAGTTTGTTTTAATGAAATTACATGTTTTTACAAAACATTTTGCTCATATAAATGTGAGTAAATATTTTGGTCACAAAAATAATGGCAAAGTAGTTTCGATTCTGTATTATATGTAATCATTGTGAAATTCTGTTTTATATCTTGTATTAAGCAACAAGATATGTTGTTTCCTTATTTTATGGGAACGGATGTTGCAGCTATTGCCAAAAAATACATAATCCACTAAGACATAACTTGCATTAGCAGGTTAGGATTTTTCCCCCTGCAATAGCTATTACTGTTAATTCTTGTACCTACAAAGAAATAACAAGAAGACAGAGTTGCATTTTATTGTTTATATTTATGTCTTTAATTTCTTGATTGAAGCGCACATCGCAGAAGAAGTCAATACAGGGGGATGGGATGAAAACTGGTTCTAAAGGGTGTTTAATAATTGATGAAAGATGTGGTTTTCATAAGAAATAAAGGAGAAAGTCTTCAGTGGATGTAAATATTACTTATTTAAAAAATATATTTTATAAAGCAAAAACTGTATAATGAATTTCTGCTCATGGCATATTTTCAGGTGGTTATCAAAAAGTGCATGACATTGAATTTGGATGTATGTCTTCGCTGTATGCATGTATTATTACTATAGTATTTTATAATATTTAAATTGCTTCATACTCATGTATGAACTAAGCTTGTGAGTAGTTAAGTTTAAAAAAAAATATTTTGTGACCAGAGGGTGTGTCATGATTACTGTAACAAACACCCTAAGATGGTCTACAAATCCATTATGCCATTTGGTAGAATGTTGAAAGTTATGTTTTTTCCACACATTATAGTTATTATTTTAAGAGCAAAAAAGTTAATCAGGTGTTTTACTACATTTTACCTTAATTAAACTTCATGTACAATTAAAGGAGTACAGTGTGTGACAAAAATAAGGCCCACATGGAATGTGCCTTAGAATAAGTTCCAACGTATCATGTTTACATTATGTTTACAATGTGATATAATTTTACACTTTTTCAATCTGTGTCTCTGTTGAAGTTAACCAAATATGATTCTGTGAAGATTTTTGCAGTTTCTTATCGCTAGCACATTTTTGTTGTGTTTAATAAGTCAGGTAAAATTTTTTAAAATCTGTAGCAGGCTTACAGATCCCTTGTTCTAAAAAGCTTCCGGTATCCCATACTAGCTGTGTTAATACATGTATATATGTACTTAAATGAAGGAATACATAATTAATAATTAACAGGGATACTTGGGTTAAAAATGCTCTAAGAAATTAACATACAAGCAGAATAGGCAGAGCTTTGGCAATAATGCCTTAATCTGTGAGCGCTAAAGAACTTTTCCTTTATAGCATTATGTTCCTTTTGTTTTGTGTTGTGCTTTTGTTTTCCTTTGTGCTTCAAATAATTCATCAAATATATCTTAAAATAAATAATAAAGCAATTTTTTATTGTCTTATATATAAATGTATTCTATACATTTTTGTTGAGGGGTACATTTTTTTACTAGTACACATTAGTACACATTTAATGAGAGTTGTACCATAGAGTAGAGCTCCACCTCCTCTGGTTTATCAGGGATGTATATACTATGTTAGTATATAGGTCCCTGGTTACATGTATGTTTTCAAAACATTATTTTTTTTTTGGTGCGTTTCTTTTATATACATGTTACCCAGATTGAAATTTTCATGCAGGCACACACATTTCTTGTTATTGAAGATAAAAAAAATCAAAGAATTTTTGTTTGATAATAAAATATTTAAAATTGATTGTTGGAATATTTTATATTATGCTTACCTTAATACCTTAAAGGGGCCTGGACACAGTTTCTAAGTTTATTCAAAAATTAATTTCAGACTAATAAACAATTGAATGTGCAAGTTAAAATTAAATTACTGTCTGAAATTCTGATGTGATTAATATGTGTAATGGTTTTAGAAAATAATATAAAATACCAAATGAAGGGAATAATTAATATCGTAAGTGAAAGCTTAAAAAAATTGCTCAATTAAAGTCAATCAAAATGAGACAACGTAAAAGTTGTTGTATACAAAAAAAAAATAATCGTAAATAAAATTGCTAAGCCCAAAACTTGAAGGATTGTGTGTGCGCATTGACTTCATTTTTTCAACACAAAGGGATAGTGCGTCCTATACATGTAACACCGTGTTTGATTGTATATTTTTTAACGTCCCTCGCGAGAATTTTTCACTCATTTGGAGACGCCATGCATCACTTGCCAGTGGAGAGCTGCAAATTTTGTCCTATACTCGGCACTTGGGGCCATTGAGCAGGGGGGGGGGTCTTTTCGTGCCAGCACCTACTGCGACAAGGGACCTCTATGGCACGCCGATTGGTTCAAAATTATTTTCTGCACGACCTTAAACAAAAATTACACGAGTAGGTAAAAACTTACACAAAGTGAGGAAAGTATACACAAAGTTATTGAAATTTACACAAACTACAGAAAAACTACACAATCAACAAAATATTTACACGATATAGTGAGAAAATTACACAAACGTTAAAACGAAAACTGCACGAGTGAGAATACAACATCGACATAGTATACGACGCATCCTCATTGCGCACATTTCATTAATATTCATTAGAGAACAGCTCAGAGTGGCTTGGATGCTTGAAACATATACCTATAAATTAGTAACGTGTTAGTAATATTTATTTAATCTTTTTAAAAAGGATTCAGTCTGTTGGAATTTCGCTAGACTCTCAAGAATATGTACAATGTGTTTTATACATGTATAAATTTACACATAATCTTAAGTTTGGAATGTGAACAACTTTCTACACATGTATAAATAACGTAAAAGGGATGCATATTACCAGTTGTGTGTTTGATTGTTAGAGTTTTAAATTGTGTCATTCCTCTATCATTGTCTATATAGCAATTTCTTTTGTGTAAAATATTGATACAGTAAAGGTCTTCATAAAAATTAATAAAAACAGCATGTGATGTAATACAAGACAGTTAACAACAAATCAAACTCTTCTCCTCCACCACCCACTGTGTGTACGTCTGTAATAATTGAGGATGTGGATGCGTGACCTTTTCATTTAGAGAGAACCCTCCCTGCTGGTGAAGGAATGCAAGACACCTGTACGCTAATCGATTTATAGTTATTTGACACATCCATAATACGTTTTGATTAAGGATTACTAGCAATTCATACAGAGATTTTGAAGCATTGTTGCGATCATCTGGGTTGTGGAATTTGACAGAAAACTTTTTGGAAATAAACAGTAAAAGATAAAAATAAGGCAAATAATTGCGCAACTTTAAGTTTTATATTGAAACAATCGAATATAATTATTAATTTTTTTTATATAACTATGTATGTGACAAAGTTGTGTAGTGATTTCATAAATATCCATGAAAATGTAGAAAATTGTATGAAAATTGCAGTCGATTTAGTTATGTGAATTTAAGTTTAATATATTATGTTTTTTTATCGAGTTTGCTTTGAATAAGTAAAATGCATATAAAGGAGTTAAAACAATTTCAAATTATAATATACAGACACATATAATATCAGTAAAGCATCGCTTTTGATAGTGGGGAGGGGGTTAGAATTTTTTTGGACAAATTACCCGAAAAGCCTAATTGCATGACAAGCGAAAAAAAGGCGGGGATGGGTGAGAAGTGTCCAAACTCGAAAATCCTATTTCGTTGAGGTAGTGAGGCACCTTCAATATTCCACCTTCTTTTCTAAACACATAAGCATATATTACTTAGATTTAAACTACCAAACAAAAAAGGGGACGAGGCTTTTCAGTTGATATTTACGATAGAAAAATGTTATGTTTGCCAAAGAAAAGAAAACGAAAAGGGGGAGGGATATGCCCCTCCTGATGCTACTGGCTGAAATAATTTTCTATGAATTTAAGCTTACATGAAGTAGTCAATCGAAATCAGGATTGCAATTCAACCTAAAACTATAAGGATAAATATTGTAATTAACCGTCCATATCCTGGAATTTGCGCTCGACCTAACAACATTTAAAAATAGAAGGTTAGGGGATCAACCAGCATATAAGGACAATTTACTGTTGCAAAGTCTATAATACTCAGAAAAAAGTAGGGAGGAAGGGGGACTTCTACAGGCCCGTTTGCCGATTAATTTCATTTTTTGATTATACAGTCATGCTCTTGTTATAATGGCCATAGATTTGGATTGAAAAGTGTTATCATAAAAAACTTAAATTTAGTGTTTGGGAAATAATAAATTATTAAAATTTTATGAATACGAATTCTACATGTGAAGAGAATTTGTTGTCTTTGAAAATATTTGCAAAAATTGTGCTCTATTTGGAACATGATTTATTTGTATTTTTCAAGAATGATAACAAGTTCTATATTCTTTCCATTTATTATCAAACTGCAGTATCCATTCCCATTTTATTTATGTTTAGCATTGTATGTAAATGTATTTAGTAATTCACAATGTTTTAAAGGTCTTGGTGTGTCATTATGGTCCAACGATTTGAAACTTAAATAAATTTATATTGGGACTCCAATCGATCCACGAACCAGGTCCGCCACTGATTATGTGTTTTTCCATAGCCAGGATTATTTGAGTAGAGGTTTGTTATTTCATTTGGACAAGTTTAATTAACAAAACACAAAAGCGCATGTGCATAGAGTATATTAATATATTCCCCGTTTATTTATCTGGTCCTTTTTATTAAAAATGAAAACATTTATCAAGTAATCGCCATTACGAATGAGGGCAACGCTTACAAGAAATATCTTGTTTTTATTTCGAAGTTTATAACTGAAAATATGAAATATCATGGAAAAAATCATAACAAAAAGTAGGCTACATACATTCAACCAAAATTGATATCGGATATTTTATAAGTTTGGATACATATGTAAATAGAAATAAAATGTTTTTATGTTTGGCATTAAAAATACGTTGTGTACATCTAAGGTAATCCTCACTTTTTAAATTTAAAAATGTACACATTTATATATATCCAGCCAACTGAATATTTAATTTCCTATTCCGAAATGGGGAAAAATCTCCTCAAATGATTTTTTAAAATCAAGATCCTTGTCAGCCGTACTGTACTTTCATCGTTAGGTACTTTTAGTTCGGAGTCGAGTGCATCATACGCATTGGTGCTTTTTTTTTACCCCGCATTGTAGCACAAACGTACCGATTCATTCTTGTTACAATTTTTGTCCGCATCATATAATACATCCTTGATCTCGGTCAATATTAGAAAAACATAGTATTTTCAAAAAGCTTTTTAAATACTCTCGCATAGATCAGATGGAAACACTTCATCCGAAAAGCAACTTCTATTCTCGATAACATTCAGCTTAGCATACACAAAGAGATAAAGAGTACAGAAAACCAAGAACACTATGAATATTCTATGTGCATAGTAATGATATGCGCAGCTGTATGCGCAGTAAAATTGTTTGTGTAACTTTTAGTTTCCTCTGCTTGTGCAATTTTCGATTTTTGTTTGTGCATATTAAACCCTTTAATAGTGTAAAAAATTTCGGATTCGTGTATTTTTCGTTATGTTTGTGTAAAAATCTTTTAAACTATGTGCAATTTTTACCGATACGTGCATTTTTATTTTACTCGTGTATATTTTTTCTTCTAGCTCGTGTATAAAATAGTGATCGTTGTGCAGAAAATAATTTTGAACCAATCGGCGTGCCATAGACCTCGGTTTATTCGGTCTCATCCGGTCTCCTTACTTCGCAGACGCTCTTACGACGCTCCACGCGGGCGACTGTAGCACCATAACTGCAACTGCAAATCAAAGCCGGGACATGTATACAAGATGAAATCAGTCCTCGATTAACACTAAAAACGAGTGAAATTTTATTACATGTATTTTACTTTTATTTATTATCATCATCATTATTACATGTATTTGATTATTTTGTTTTTAAATCTCATGTAATTGCTATGTATATGCTGGCTAACAAATTGTAATTTGCGTTTTAAAAATAAATTTATACAAACACCCGGAGTATCAGTCCTATACGACACTGTAAACAATTTAGAAGTATCATTTTTTTATATAACAAAAAAGCTCTGACTGTGTGTATTTATATAAGCTAAATGGAAGTGTTTTACATTTTGCAATTTGATTAAGAAACTAGTAATTAGTACTAATAAAGAACATTGCCAGACCCCCCCCCCCCTTCTCAATTACTCACTGGGATATCTATCTTTACTGTTTATCGAATAAAGTGATCAAATTCATGTGTTATGCTTGAAATCTTACTGAACATGAACATCCTAAATATACAGGAAATAATATTTTATCATTCGTGATGCTATGTCTCATGCACGACGAATGTTTATAAAGTTCATTCTGACTTTCAGAATATGAATTTCACAATATTAGTGTAAATAAGGTACTCGTTATCCTAATATGTATC